CTAGTATTTTGTAAAATATTGTTGTAATTATTGTGGAGCGAAAAAGAATTTGATCTAATGATAGGGTAAATGCCGCATTTGGTCACTAAGATTACTAAATTATGTCATGTTTAGTCACTAGAAAAATTTCATATCAATTTTGGTCACTCGAATTACTAAAACATGTCACATTTAATCACTCTACCGTTAGCCTCCGACAATGCAGTCAAAATCGCGCTTTAAAACTTAAAAACTTACGATTTTACGCTTCTAGGACACCAAAACGCTTTCGTTTCCATATAAAATCTTAAGTGTATAAAATCGGGACTAAAATGCGCTTTAAAGCTTAAAAGCTTACGCTTTTACGCTTCTGATTCACTAAAACGCTTTACGCTTTTACGCTTCTGGTTCACTAAAAGAGTATTCTATTCATGAAAATACTTATATTTTAAAGGTAAATCACATAAAATATGATATATTTGAGATTAAAAGATACATATCAAGTACTTGGGTGCATTCTTAGTTTCAATAGAGTAATCTAATTCACCAGCTATGCCCTTCCCAAATTCACTAGCATAGAGGGAAATGTAACTTATTGTTAAGATATATGTTTATGAACTTATTGTTAAAATGTTATGAGTTTCTCAACTTTAGACATAATTAGAAGTATTTACAGCCAGGTTACATTAGACTATCATTTCCAGTTCAATCCACATGCTGACATACTTCACTGCTACGGAAGCACACAACAGTACCCTTTATTAATATGACCAGAAAATACCCAGAATCAGTCGAGTCCCCCATATTAATTAAGAATAGAAAACATAAGACAAAAGGGGGTAAAAAGAGAGAGGGAAAGGAAGGGACAAGCAGTTACAACTGAGAAGACATAAGAATACATCATCATCTCATCATCAAAAGAGTGAAACCCAGTTGATGGGAGTGGATGCTTCACAGAAATGTGTGTGCTTTCTCTTGTTTCTACTTCTTTGCATATTCCCTCGCTCCGAATATGACTGACCCGACTCTCACATTTGTACTCCCCATCTCAATCTGCAACAATTCACCCGTAGAAAAACCATGAGCATTTCTTGTCTTCTCCTTAGACATACAACCCCAGTTCATTGAGCATCTAGCACCACGACATTTAAATCAAGCAATATAGCTGCCTTACCGCTTGCTCAAAGTCATTGGACATCCCCATGGACAGCTCACACTGCTCTTCTTCTATACCAAGCGCCTTGCAAACTTCACTTCTGCAGTTTGCCAATGTCTGACCCCATCCACATCACAGTGCACAAATCAGAAACCCGAAGGAAATTGGAGGGAGGGGGGAGGGGGGAATGCTTCAGTCAGTTGAGATCCTCTCACCTTGAAGTTCTCGGGAGTGGATGAATAGTCAAGCATTCCGATTGTCATCAGCCCACAAAACTCAAGATTCAAGCATCGCTCGCTCACGTGCTTTGCAAGCTCCATGCACTCTGATGGCTCAACCCCATTTTTTGCTGAAATTCAGGACATGAATCCGGCCCATAAAACAGCCAACAATCGTCAGTAGAGAAAAGAAGACTTTACAATTGAAGGATTGTTTCACTACTTGTATCAGAAACTGCAATTCCCTACATGAATCCATAAGGGGCCTAACAGGAGACTTTTGGGTATAGGAAAGGGTTATGTCACTCCCTCATACAAACTTCAATTCTTAAACCATATATCGCACATGGGAGCAGAAAGTTTCTGTTTCCAATAGAAACTAGTTTCTTAGCCCCTAAAAGGACATTTCAGATTCTTCTTTGGTACCATACTCAGTGCACTTAAGGCACCTCAGATCTCTATGCCTAGTGACTCCTTAAATGTACAAAACACTATAGCATGGAGATATCATACGCGTCAACTAAAATTGGATTCAAGGGCTAGTCTTTGCCGATTTCTGTCATCAAACAACATGATAAGTGACCTTGTGGGACAACAACCATGAAGAAATTATGACATGATTTCATCATCTATTTTGGTTCACAGAACAGAAGAGATGCAATCCACTCACATTCTTCACCACTGGTATTCACTTGGACAAACACCTTCAAAGGTTTCCTTCCCAAGCTTTCAACCATTCGATCAAGCCGATTGGCAATCTGTAGTGAATATGAGCTCGGCAAATGCATGAAGACCATTAGAAAGGAACCATATTTAGGTTGATTCAGCAGAGGACACATAATTGAAAGAAGTAGAAAACAGTGCGAGTAGCCATTACCTTTTCATCATCTACGCTCTCGACCATAGCAAGATTTGGTACACCAGCTGCAATACATCCAGAAATACAACACCAGTTGAAGTATAAGCTAAGCAACCAAAATTGAGAAGGATTTTTTCAATCGAAACATAACAATCGCCAATCTTTCTATCAATGAGATCTTACCCAGTAGAGGTTTTACTTTGTTGCTCTGTAAGTTTCCAATAAAGTGCCACTCAATGTCTTCCGGAAGCTGCAATTTGCACAAGCAATTCGCATTTCAGAACTTGCACTGTGTATCCTTCAATAACCCACCATCTTTAATCTATTAAAGCTTGCGCATCAACTCAAGAATCCGAGAAATCGAAACACAAGGAGTGCAAGAAGAATTTAGGACAACGAAGAGACACCTGAGGTGCTTTATCTATGAGCTCCTGAACATAGTTCTCGCCGAAACATCGATGGCCAGCATCGTACACTTGTCGAACGAGAGAGACTGGCTTCGTCTTGCTCACGGCCACCAGTCGAATCTGGTGTGGCCCACGACCTGCACTTTCAGCGGCCTGGTGAATCCGCCGCACGACGGATCGGAATGCCCCGGCGGCGGCGCCATCCACGGCAGCTGAGGTTGCTGCTTCCATTTTGTGTGCCTTGTGGCTGATGTGTTGCGACGGCTGTGTTCGTGTGCCATGGATTGGTAGGTTCCATCTAGATTCGACATTTGCGTACAGTGGCTTTTCGGTTGAAACGCTGCGTTGTGTCTTCACACGGCGTCGTTTCTCAGGAGTAGTTCTTGCGCTAAAAGCCCGAATGGTTACTGAACTTTGCTGAACAGAACAAAATGATCCCTGAGCTTCAAAACAATTCACCGAAACTGAGGGTTCATTTGTTTGAGGGTTTTGTTCATGGATTTGGTGATGGATTTGTATGCTTTATGTATTTTGACAAAAGTCCATTGTTTGCTTGAAGGAGTTAGAGAGTGTAAATCCGTGGGGCCATACACTTTTGAGGTCCAAATTCGTGGACCCCACGGATTTGAAAAAACTAGTTATGGAGGTAGAGATGGCAAAAATATCTGTAACCGCGGATATCCACCCGAATCCGACCTAATCGGGTAGGGTAAAACCTGAACCCGAAGCATTTTTCGTGGGTACGGTTAAAAACCGAACCCGAATATTGCGGGTAATGGGTGGGCACTATCCAACCCAAACCCGTCCGATTATACACATGCATATGTATTTTGTCTAGAAACAATCATTATTTTTCTCTAGAATATTTTATAGTTAGCATATAAATATAATATTTCCATGAAATTGTGTTGTCTAATTAATTTTCGTATTCTAGTGAATTATTGTCATACTTTTCCTCTTATGTAATGTGAGTATACGTGTGAATGTTAACATATTGGTTGGAATTATAAGTATAAATTATTACTCATGGATAACCGTGGATACCGAAACCCGAACGGGTATGGGCATAGTTTTGATTTTCTGCCCGTTTCTCGTATGAGTACGGGTATGGGTAAAACCTGAACTACATTTGGTAGGGTAACAGATATGCACTATCCGTCCCCCGACCCGACCCATTGTCATCCCTATATGGAGGTGGGAATTGAGTGATGGATTAAAATTCATGATGGTATTTTACTTGTTTGTCCTCACTTTTTTTATAAATGGCCAATCTACCCTCCTACTTCAATTTCTACATATATGTCATACAAGGTGTTTTGTCACGGCTACAGAGGCCTGAATGATTATATTTTGAAATGGGTTGGACGAGGTGCTCCAATGATCACCAATTGGACCCTTATGAGTCACAAATGCTCACACGAAGAACCCCGACATCACCACCATTGGCATCCTCCCATTTTTTATATCCTTCTACTTCTAGCAAACAACATTCTTGATGTCCTTTGAGTAATCACCACCATTGATTTATGTTATGCTTTGCTTGCTAAAAGAATGTCCTTCGAGTAATCGCCCCAATTGATTTATGTTATTATTTGCTTACTAAAATGGAGATCAATTCAAACTTGCAATTAATGTTCAGTATTTATCTCCCCTGACACTTGTCCTTCCAATGCAGCCTCCGACACAAAAAATGAACCATTTGCTTAATTAATGATGATATGTTGCACATTTGGAGTCTTTTTTCGTTGTAAAATTATAGATAGGGGCAATAAGGTCAATTTCACGTAATATCTACAAATTTCATTAAACAAAATTCATCATGAAATCCATGAAACAAACAATGGATTTTTAAAAGTCCATAATGGATCTAAAATCTTCATAAGTCCATAGATTTCCAAAACCCAGGTTTTACCAAAACTTTCATTTTTCAAATCAATGAAGCAAACGACCCGTGAATGCATTCATAGCCTGCAATGGCACTGAACTTGTTGTGAATTGGCTAGAGTTTCCATGGAACCGATTCTGAACCAAGCCGGAGAGATGGGAACAAAGTTCGATTTGGGGACAAGACGGAGCAGAAATACGTCTCAGGTTTGCTGCCTACGCTCATAAAACTCCGCTGTAGCTGTACCGGCTGTCTAACTCGTACTGCCGAGATGGTTACTGGCGGGAGGCTGAGGTCACCTGGGTGAGCCAATGGTTGAATGCAGGACGCTCCTGTAGCAGCCCTGACCTCGACACAATCCACGTTAGGCTGGGGTACACAGGGAATAGGCGTAAACTTGAAGCTCCCACAGGCATTTTATGTGTGCCAGAAACTTGCTATCCAAGCATACAACTCAATCAACAAGGCATGTTACTCGGAGCTTTGGGATATTGGATTTTTTAGCCAGAAAAAGTTTCTGCCATGGTATTACTGGAAAATGCTCATTAAATCCTAATATTCTTGCAAAGCGATCAACAATGAAGATGAGCATACAAAGCCACAGGTTTAGGACAGCACCATTGGTTTCTTCAAGTTTCAACCGCATTAATCTAGTACGACTGAAACACCTTTGCTTACATCAATACCACATTCTAGCCTTGTCACGTTTCCAAGCTGGAGCACCCAAAAAACACTGACAGATGGACATCTTATTTGCTTTGGCCTATGATTTACCCTCGCCTATAGGAAAAAGAACGGGTTTCCTTCACAAACAGCATTGCAGTCGGTTAGCGGTTGATTGGCGTGTGCATTCGATCCACAATTCCATTCACCGCAGCACGGGACATCACCAATGTGTCATGTTGCAGTATGCTGTAGACATTCAATCCCTGCAAGTAAAGCATTACAAAAAAACCATTAACCTAATATAGGCTGCAACCACAGAACTACTTGCGCACATGTGAGGCAATCTATATAACTCAAAACTAACTCCACAAAGCTAAACAAACAGCAGGACACATGGGAGCCTTGGCATTCCACAGATTGTGATTCAATCTTCTAACTTACAATTGAAGGTAGCACATTGACATAATGTATATTTTGTGTAGCCAGCTTCAGTTTTTCATTGATGGAACCACCATCAACCAGCAGCAGTTTCTTGGCATTCTCCATCTGCTGGACATAGTTGACGATATTCTTGGTTTTGTGTGTAGGAACCTCCAAATCCTCAAACACAAGAAGCTGCACATTTTATACATTCTTTAAGATACTTATCAACAACCTCAAAACAGAGGACCAAGATCAAAGCAGCAGCAAGATACTGGTCACCAATACAACACAAGTGGCACGGAATCCAGCTCAAGTAAGAAAGGAAAAACGAATGCATACTTACCTTTGACACCAAACTACTACCCACAAAAGAAGCATATAGAGATAAAGAAGAACCCATACCTTTCCTTCTGCTGCACGTGCTGTCAACGCAATCTTCAACCCTAAACGCCTGACCTGCTTATTTAGTTTAAAGGCGTGGCTTCGTGGCTTGGGGCCATGCATAACACAACCACCTCTGAACTGCATGTGTAGGTCAATTTTAATTAGGGATAGACATAACCAAACGTACATCAAAAGCAATCAAAAGTCAAATGGTAGCCTATATGAATTCAAAAGAAAACATTACCTGAGGTCCACGCAGCGTTCCATGCCTAGCCCTTCCACTTCCCTTCTGATTCCATGGCTTTCTCCCAGTCCCACTAACCTCACTGATTGTTTTTGTCGAATGTGTTCCCTGAGAATCAAATATTCTTTTCCTAAACATAAAAAACCCTGAAGTTTCCAATAACAGTAAAACTCATAGACCTGATGCAGAAGGACATAGAGAATTACTTGCTGTCGTTTGGCGAGTTGCCACCTCACGACTCGATGAACGATGTCTTTTCTAATAGGTACATCAAACACATCGCCAGCTAGAACCATAAATCCTTTGTCCTCATTGTTGAAATTTGTCACTGGAATTACCAGGTCCTGATAAAGCCCTAAGATAAGAAGAATTATTCATTAACCCAGTTACAAGCTACCCGAAAACCCACAAACACCGAAATAGCAGCTTATCTATGCAGCAGAGATAGGAACCAAACAGCTATAAGATTAAATGGATCCCGCTAAATTCAAGGATCAAAGGTCAGAGAACAGCGTCCTTGCCTATTTTACGATCTGGGGTTAGCACAGCCCTTGAGGATAACAAATCGGCGGGAAATGGACCATCTTCTGATTCAGGAGTTAATACAGATGTAAACCATCTCTGATGCGAAAGAGAAGCGGCCGATCCCTACATTGTAGTAAAAGCGAGCAGGAGATATAGTTCACTCCATTGCCGATCGGAATAAAAGGAACATGGCAAAAAGAAGAAGAGATTTACCAAATGAAAAGAGGATCCCCCAGAAAACAAACAGTCCCCCGAAGCTCGGATACTGATATCTGCAGCAGCGGATGGGAAGTGGGAAAATAATCAAGACTAGTAAAACAGAGAGACGAGTAACCGCCAAACTTTTTCCGGCGAGCAATGATTGGTTGATTTTAACGAGCACGGCTACGGGCAAAGGAAGTTTACCCTGGCAACGGCGAAGAGCAGACAAGGAACCAAAAGAACGCAATATTCCTTTCGAGAGTGACGATGCCATCCGGCCCAAGCAACAGAACCGAGTTACTGCGCAAGATTGATCTCGGAGGGTGGCATACAAAACCCTAGGATTGTAAAATCCTCCAGCGAGCGAAAGCCGGAAAAGTTGTTACCAGATTTCCGCAAGGTTTGAAATTTAGCAGAAGGCCCCGACGGTCAATCTGAAACTGATGCAGGTAACGTCGCCGGCGCGGCGGCAGAAGAGAGGCAGCGGGACGGAGACGATTGGGGCAGAAGTCTTAAACCCTGCGCAAAACATTTCATACGAGCTTAATCTCCTCCGTGTCTCAGGCGCGGACCGCCGGTATGGATGGACTCAGTAGCCCAATATGTGGGCCTAGGCTACTGGGCCTCGCTGAATGCTTCTGATGGGCTTTAGGGGGAGTCTTTCAGTTTCACTTTTAGTCACGAATTTTGCATTTCCAGCATTTATGTTCTTCAGTGCTGAAGACACCTGCTCAAGCCTTCACCTTTACCAAGCCATATGCATGCATCTATGATCTTATTCATCCAACTGACATTACACCTGCAGCTGCAAGCCCCTTTCCACTCCAGCTGCCATCAGTAGTCTACCCGATTGAGATCGCCTTCAGTCCAACTCGCTATCAAGCGAGGTGGTGAACTCCCACACCCGCCATTACTTGCCCTAACCTAGCTCATGCTATCACGAGTTCACGACTCTCCTAGTTTATGGATGCAACATGGTAGCCTCAGTTCAGAATCCACATTGACACAGGTCCTCTTACAGATGTGCATCACGTTTTTCAAAAGGAGAGTGTCATACTGGGCAAGAGAGCTGTTCCCTCAACAGATTTGATTAACTGTTACGGTCGGTGGTTGTAAAGGGCCCAGAAGGATAAATTTAGAAGAGAACTGTCTGTCCAGAGCACTAGTTAGTTCCACATACAGACAGACAGACAGATAGGGTTAATATATTACAATCAAGAAACCCAGTCAGCCAGCAGGATTGAGCACAGCACACTGAAGTTCTCTCTGCGCTGCTCCACGTCTCGCAAAAAGCAGCAGAGTCGTCAATCCTCTACCAAGCTAAATCGGCCATAGCAAATGCTGGTCATTTTTATCTCTTCCGCCGCTTAGTCTCCACCTGCAAGAAAGTTCATCCTAGCTTTAAACCATCATCAATGATAACAAGTACCACATGGTTCTTTGCCAACCCAATTCTTATATCCTCAAATATCCAAAAGAAAAACACCATTGAGAGTTTCCTCTACCATTCATAGAGCTCAAAGCTACTGCCAGCAGAGCCTCATTACTCTGATGCTCCCAATAACAGCAACAAAGAAACCATAGTTTTAGCTGTTTTCTTATAAATGAAATGCAAAAAAGCCTACAGCATACTGTTGTCATGCTAATGCAATAAATCTAGCGCATATTGCCAAAAGCATCCAAGCCCTCAGGAACTGTTCAGATTTATTGTGCACAAGACATGAGCGGGACCCCATCTCCAAAGAAGAAACCAGCAAATCAAGCAGTCCAAAGATTATAACTGAAATGAGAACCCTTAACTATCTTATTGGATCGTTTTGGCGAGGTTTTTTTTTTTTCTAAAATGAGCGATTGTGGGCAAGATAAATTGTAATAGGAAAATGAGGCAATTCAAATTGTCGGCAATCTCAAATTGCCATATACCGAAATGCTGTGTTTTTTTCTTTCACTGCCAAACGACGAATTTCAGCCCAAATGCCTTGTGATGAGGCAATTGGGACAAATCACCTCCCCTAAAGACCTTGAATCCATGAAACTAAGTTATGTCTAAGGTTAATCTACCTAAGTTAAACAAACCAAATGCTACACTTCACTTGAGGGAAGCTTCAAAGGAAAACCAACGGTTTAAGATAGAGAAGCCATTACTTGTTTCAAAATCGAATAACCCTAACACCTTGAAAAATATGGCCGATGAATAATCTGGGAATCATTTCTTCACCATTCCAGTCATAATTAAGCAAAGGAGCATCCCTTTGCTGCACAGTACACCTTAAGAACAACAGGATGTATGAAGCCAATAGTCAACAAGCCTTGAAACAGTACAATTAACGAGCAAAGTAGCAAGATGCATGGAGGAAACAAGGTCCACGATAAGGGAAAACATTTGTGAGAGGCTTGCTGTGGATATGTTAACTATATGCTTTTGTATCATAAACCAGCAATGCAGAATATGTTCCTATCAATGATCTTCAGCAATAGCAACTAGATATTCATACTGATGTGTAGCACACTCACGAAACACTAATCAAGATACGAAAAGAAAAGCAGCTGAATATACCACAGCAGCTTCACATATAAGAGGGAGCCGTGGATAGGTAGACTCTGTCCATGAAACAGGAACTAAAGGAGACCAAGATTTCCCTCAACTGTACCAAGTTGGACAGACTGAAAAGAATGCCCGTAAAATTCAGAACAATTCCAGCCTCTGGATAGGTCCAATAGTTTAATGCAGCATAAGAAACGCCGAAGTAAAAGATGTTCTTGGGAAACACCTCAATCAAGGACTGAAAGATGTGCATCAACTTGCAGCCACACACTAGCATGCAATGAGGGCATCAAGGTTGACCCACTAGAAGAAAGCTGCAACTGAGACTGGTGATGCTCAATTAACATTATGCATAACTGGGTTCGAGAATCCTCACCTTGACATCAGCTGTTGGTGATGTTGAAAACCCATTCTGTGGTCTTTTGACATCGTCGTCAGGAGAACATTCAGAGCAAACAAAGTGATCCAATTTCTTAGCTTCCTCAATTGTCATTCCCACACAAGCTGGATGATACCTACAAAGTGGGGCAACAAGAAAGGGCATGAGCAAACAAGAAACTTTCTCACAGGTGACACAAGTGTGGTAAAAACATGAGATGTATTCACAATACCGGAGAATAAAATCATGGTTCTAAAGATGAGGGGTTAAGAGAGGATGAAGACCGAAGCGACCCCCAAGATGACACCCACAATACTAAATTCCCAACTAAAAATCACGACTTCTTTGCACAATCTTCTTTCTATACATAATTTTAAAAACTGAGCTAGGCAAGCTAGCCTCAATCACCCAACAACAACAACAAACAGATGGGCTGACAATGCTGGCCTCGCGAACATGCTACCATCGGAAAGCAATTGAAAAGGAGAAAAAGTACTGAAAGTAATCCAAAAGGAAGTAACTTTACCAGTCCTTGCACTCCTCACATTGGACCATAAGGTCATCCGGGTTATACGGCATCTCACATTTGCAGTACCTTAAAGGAGGGAAATGCCCAAAACAAACCAAGGGAGGGCTCCAGTTAGTGATAAACGAGTGAAATGTGGGACAGAAAAAAGGGTCGAGGAAAATAATTAAACTCACACAGCAACACGGTCCGGGGTGAAGCCTCCAGTAGCAGCCTTATACTCGAACCTGCAGAAGTAGTCCTCGGCACCAACATTCTCGAGTTTGGTATAGTTCTTAAACGAGTGAACAGTACATTTCCCCTCGATGGTGTGTGCGCTCTGGACATCGTGGTGGTCGGAGAGAAAGAGCTCTTTGGCGCCATGGAACTGACGGCGGCCTCCGAGAGACTCCTCGGGGCGGTAGTACCACCTGACCCGGACCTTGACATTATTTCTGGAGTCGGAATCGATGCCCTCGATTCTGGCAACGTAAGGCGGCTTCCCGGTGTCGGAAGGTCTCATCAGCACGCAGTCGCCCACTGTGGAAACGTACATTATTCAATCCCCCATTAATTGGGTGTGGAGGAACTGAGGAAGAGCGAGCGAAAGCTACAAAGAACAATGGAAAGAGCAGGAGAGGAGAAAGAAGCCCTTTTACCTTTGACGACTTTGGTGGTGCCGCGAATGGTGTAGGAGTCGAGCTCCTTCTTGCCAGCACCAGCAGCACTGGCAGTACCTTTGGGCTTGGAGTTGCTGGAGGCGAGGCCTGGCCTGGTTTTAGCCATGGAAGGAATACGAATGAAGGGGTAAAATATATGCAAGAGTGAGCTGGACGGAAGATCTGATTGACTGACTGATTGATTGATTTGGGGGAGGGGGAGAAGAAAAAGAAACCCTAGGGCTTCAGTTCATGCTCTACCCAGCAGCTCCTTCACATTTGGTAGCGACAAAGAAGAAAGAGAAGAGAAAGGCGAAAGAACGAACCCCTGGGGGGAAATGAAGGAGGCAAAAAAAAAAATGAACAGAGAGCGAGTGAGAGTGTGAACAGCTGACAAGACCGCGACCTTTGACCTTATATTCATTTTCTTTCTCTTTTTTCGTTTTTACTTTTAAATTTTCATTTTTACGGCAGCGGCCAGCGGCTTCCTCATTTCTCGCGGTTGCTCCACTGTCTTGTTTTCCCTTCTCGTCATTTCCTTTCCAAGGCAACGATAATCATACCATTACTATATAGAGGTTCTCCCTTAGAACCTCTTTAATTCATAATTTCCAGCCCTATGAGTGATTTTAGGAAGGATAATTTAGTCCTTTTAATAATTAGGAGCTAAAAAAAATTATTTATAGAGAAAAACAGCTAACAAAAAGGGGTCCGCCACCCCCTTAATCCTATTAATCAAGTAACAAAAATTGGCTTGGAGAAAAAACACTCTCCAGATTAGGTTTGTATTATAGGAAGGACACTTTTTTAATTATTAACAAAATTTGTTTGTAGAGAGAACACCTATAGGAAGGACACTTTTTTAATTATCCTAAGACTAATATAAAGAGGTTTTCCATGAGTATGAATATTTTTCTCATGGTATGAATATTGATTAATTATAAATCGATTATAATCACTCCACGATGCTGATTTTGCAAAACTATCATTCTCCATTTTACATTTTAGAAATCGATGCACATAGTTCAGAGATGAAAAAAATTAATCAACCATTGACCAAATTAGCAAAAAGGAAACATGTTCTTTGTATAAGGGTGCAAGAAAACTTTTCTCATGGTATGAATACAAATTAATTATAAATTGATTATAATCTCCCCACGATGTTGATTTTACAAAACTTTCATTCTCCATTTTACATTTCAGAAATCGATGCACATATGTCAGAGTTGAAGAAAATTAATCAACCATTAACAAAATTAGCAAGAAGGAAACATGCTCTTTGTATAAGACAAAAGCGTATACATGGAAAAATTGTCAACATTCCTACTGGTAATGTTTGTTTTCTATTTATATGTTATCAGATTGTGTGTTAGCTGCTAGGATTGCTTATTTTACTAATTCCGATACAAGACTGCGAACTTAGATGGATAACTACAAAATAAGAGGAATAGATTGTCAAGGTCCATCATACTTGCCGAAAATCGTTATATTCGTCTTCGTGTGATGCGTTCTGAAGACTTTCCATGTTTATTGATATTTTCATTTTTCCTTCATTTATTATAATGTTAGAGTTTGTGACCAAATTTCTTTCTTATATTGGAGTTTCATTTTATTGCAATGTATGAAGTTTTTTATATTGGGAAACCGTCATATAAATATGAATATTATGAAGCACTGATGGAGAAGGGCAAAAGTACCAAACCCACGAGGAATTCAAATCAACCAAAATTTTCAATGTGTTGCAGACAAGGTAAAGGGAAGATCCCTCCTCGAAGATAGTCTCCATAAGTTTTAAATATGCTATTGCAAGCAAATACTTCAACCGGACGTCACTTTTTGGAACATATCTGAGGATATAACGGGGTCTTCGCATTGTCTTCTATTAGAGCTAAACTGGATCGATCTAAAAATTATGGACGCGGAGTATATGTCTATTCAATTGGACGTCAAATATATCATCGAGTCGGAAGCCTGATACCTACTAAAAGGAATAGACCAAAGTTTGTTCAACTCTACATCTATGACAGTAGCAATGAAATCCAAAAAAGGATAGATTTTTTCTTTACATATCCAGATGCAAATCTTTTGCGCGATTCAATTATTCAACAATTGCGGGAGATGTTAGATTCAAGTGATATCTTAGTAAAGACATTTCGGTCTGCAAGGGATAGACTGAATAACACCACTGTTGAACAAGTCCAAGTAAAGTTGCTTGCTAAAATAGAAGGGGATGGTAGAGAATATGATTTGCCATCAGCAAATGAGGTCGTTGCTTTAATTGTTGATGATACTAGAGAACAAACATTTTCTCCTGATATTGTTGTCCAGTATCAAAGTCATGAACTGGAACAAATCACTATATATCACCCAAGTTTAATGGCTTTTCAATATCCCATATTATTTCCACATGGCGAGGATGGTTGACACTCAAATATTCCATACTCGGAGGGTGAGGATGAGGATACAGAGGGATACAATGAGAAAAGTGTGACCCCATGTGATTTTTACAGCTATAGACTCCAAACCAGAATGGAAGCATTGAACTCATTGCTATTGTGTGAAAAGTTGTTCTGACAATATGCTATTAATGCATATGCATTGGTTGAGGCTCGGCGTTGGGACTGGGTTAAAACAACCAAACAAAGTTGCGACAACATTACTACCAAAGTATTTTGGATTCTTAGTTGAAAGGTGATTCGGACCCCAGTTTGAGTGGAAAACAGGTGATTTTAGCTTCATCACATACAAATAGTCCACGCTATAAGTATGAAAGCTTCCAGGATGCTATGGCGATTTGTAGATGGGCAGGATATCCATATCTTTTCATTACATTTACATGTAATCCTGTTTGGCCTGAGATTCAGTTCATGTTTGATTTGATAAGGACTACTTCTAGGAAAGTTCCTAATAGAGCTGATGTCCTCGCACGAATTTTCAGACTGAAGCTACATCACTTGCGGAAGGAGATTTTGGAGAATAAATTTTTTGGAAAAACATATGCATGTAAGTTATATTCAGTAGTTTTACTTTAAGCATCCATAGTTCGTTATTTGCTCGCTAACTAATCTTAACAATTTTAATTATTATGATAATTTTTTCATTACAGATGAAAAAACGTGGTCTATCCCATGCTCATTTATTACTTTTCCTTGCTGGAGAAGATAAATTATATAATCCTTCAGAAATAGATTTAGTTATACCTGCTGAAATCCCATATCCTAAGGCAGATCCTTGGGTTTGGGCTTTTCTTGCGCAACTTAGATGGAAGGTGGAGAAGGCCCGCTTTCGGGGAGGTCCGAGCCATCAGTGAGATAGTACTCTGGAAGAGCCTAAATGTTATGATGCAGTTGCAAAATTTATGTTTCATGGTCCATGTGGCATGTGGCATTCAAGGACCTAAAGCTCCATGTACAACTAATGGTATATGCTCTAAACATTTTCCGAATGATTTATGCAGCCAAACACCTATTGATGAATATGGTGTTGCAAGGTATCAACATCGAGGGAACAACATATCGTATATGGTGAATGAATCTGGCCAACCGATCGGGCCCGTGACTAGTTGCTTATTATTTCTTTGTCCCAAAAGTAAATGAACGTTAATCCGGTTATAATCACGAACTAATCATTAATTGATTCATATATCGAGAACAAGTGAAGTTCTTACCACTACCGTAAAAAAAAAAAAAGTGAAGTTCTTACCACAGTGAACTTACGGTGTAGATAACAGAATTCCGTTAGAGTGAGGTTACCAAAGTAAAGAGATTTTTACAGAAATAACACCTTTTAAAAAAAAATACAAAACTAGCACCCTTCCAAAAATATTTACAAAACTAGCACCCTTTTTTATGGACCGCACCTCTAGGATGCGGTCCATTTTCCTGGGCCGAAACCGCATCTTGGCCATGCGGTTTCACGTCTGCCCTACATAAACCGCATGGCCGAGGTGCGGTTTTGGCCTGACCTAGCCAAACCGCACCTTAGAGATGCGGTTTATTCCTCCAAAAGCAAACCGCATCTCTAAGATGCGGTTTATACACATAGACCGCACCCCCAAAGTGCGGTCTGTGTGTCAATTATTTTCCGACACCCGACAATCACCCATGCAGAATTTTAGACGTAGGGCTGCATGGCAGACCAAAACCGCAGCTTAGAGGTGCGGTTTTCCTAATTTTTTTGCCTATATAATACTGCCCGGAAAACCTCTGCTCTTCACACCTCTCCATCTCTCTTCTCATTTTTCTGTTGTATCTCTATATTTCTTTAGTGTTTTTGCCATTAACATTAACTCGTAAGTTTATTTTGTGTTACTTTTTATTGTTATTTGTGATTTGTGGTTTTGTATGATATTAACTGAACTACGGTTTTTTTGTGTGCAGATGGCATTCCGCCAGTTCACGCTTGGCTTACGGTGCAATGGTTACACGGAAGAGACCGGAAAACAGGGGCGGAGCTACGTAGGCTCTCGGGGGGGCCCCGGCCCCCCGAGAATTTTGAAATTTACGTATAAAGTCCTAGGAAATACCGAGAATTACGTATAAACTCAAACTAACAAGTATATAGAATTCGAGTGAAGTATTCTTAACAGCACAGATGTTTAATGTAGCGGAGAAGCCATGCAGTTGTAGCTAAAAGGTTCAGGGTTCGACTCTGATAGTTAGCATTGTTTTTATAATTTTAACAGTTTTTTCCAGTTTAATCCTCTAATTTTTCTATTTTGTCTTATAAATCCTGTAATTTCAAATAAATTCAGTCAAGTTCTTAAACTTTTACATTCATATTTTCAAAGATTGTTTTTGGATATGTAATTAATTAATTTTTAAAAACAATAATATAATCATAAATTCATATTCAAGGTATAAAACAATTACATGTTAAAATGCATGATAATTTTTGCTCACACTATAAACATTTATTTTGAGTATAACATACTAGCAAACTTTAAATTATTTATATTTTGAGTTTTTTTATTTTAATTAATATGTGTCGTTATTATTTATTTTTATCTTTGGATTTTTACAATAATTTACTAAATAAATCCGGCCCCCCGAACTTTCAATCCTAGCTCCGCCCCTGCCGGAAAGGGTGCCACCTACGTTGGTGGCAATTTTCAGAAAATAATGGTCGGTACTAGACCGAAGCTTGAAGACCTCCATCAAATATGCACTAACGTTACTTGCATGGATGGCACGAGAAGAGTAGATCGTATGGTGTACCGATATCCAGATAGATAAAGTGGGTCATTGTGGCATGAGGAATATACCATAACCACTCAAGATGAAGTAGATTCCATGCTCGAATTCTTGAGCTCCAACAAATTGGCCAAAGCCGAGATGTTCGTTTACACCGAGCCAGCCGTTGGCGTTGGAGGTCATTCTGGACA